CTGTGAAACCCTTGCTTCCACCCACGTGGCTTCAAAACCTGGAATATGGAGGTCAGTATACGGTGGCGTAGCGACGTAAACATCCCTGATTTAGCAAGAATGGCAACGCCTCCATATGCCCGGGCGTCAGTCGCAACTACAGTCAACTTCGCTAATAACGACTGCGGATATAACGACAATTTGCGAATAACGACATAATTTTCATGCCCAGAGCAAAGTCCCATCCAACTGTGACACATTATAATGAGACTTCGGGTATAACGACACTTCGCGAATAAGGACACTTTTCTGCTGCCCCGCCGAGTGTCGTTATAAGCGAAGTTCACTGTAGATGGTGAATGAGTGGCACAAAAATCTACCAGTTCGGCACATTTGTTCCTAAGTGAGCGGGCATTGATTACAGGCAATGGGATGTGAGGTGAGACAGGTAGTTGAACGAGAAACAAAAGGGGGTGCGTGGGTAATAATAGACATGAGGTACCCTTAGCAAAAAAACGATAACGCTATTTTCGACGCTATCTACCCCGGACCAGGGAAATGACGAAAAAGTTCTGCGTTGAAACCTTATTTGGTCGAAAATAGCGTGAGGCTTGACGATATCTGGTTCATCAGCATTTTTACTGGATGCGTGAGTTTTGACAGGTTAGCGCTATCGTCTCAATGCTAAGGGTACCTATGATCAGCATTTTACCGTTCACGCTAACTCCGACCATCGGCGTGTAGAGGGAGTCTACAGTCAACTTCGCTAATAACGACTGCGGATATAACGACAATTCGCGAATAACGACATAATTTTCATGCCCAGAGCAAAGTCCCATCCAACTGTGACACATAATTTATAATGAGACTTCGGGTATAACGACACTTCGCGAATAAGGACACTTTTCTGCTGCCCCGCCGAGTGTCGTTATAAGCGAAGTTCACTGTACTGTTTTTTTTTGTGTGTTTTCAAGACATGGTTAGCAGTTCGGCTTCTGAGTCCTGACTTCTGACGCATCGACTTGTGACGTGACCCTAACTTAGAATCTTACCGTTTCGTTCTCCTGCTACACAGAGTTTTCTATCGTCGAAACGGTACCAAACCGACGGTATTTTGGGTGTTGGGTACGAGTACCGTTGGATCTAACGTGAACGGTAAAATGCTAACGTCTACACACACAAAAACGGTACAGGCCGACCGTCGAAAATAGCATGAACGGTAAAATGCTAACCATGCCTAGGTCCGGTATGTTAACTCAGCTTCAGTCGGTAGAGCACGAAAGTACTAATGAGTCAAAGTGGTGGACATTAATTCACAGGAAACTAATACCGTAAAGTCTTGTATAAAAGCCACACTTGTATAAAAGCCGCCCTCGAATAGAATTAGAAGCCGCAATTTTGGGCCCATCAAATCACACGTAAGCCTGGTTTTAGTGTTGACATACATAGAAATACCTGTCTTGTATAGAAGCCTGCAAAATTTCACCAAGAAATAGAAGCCGCGGCTTTTATACAAGACTTCACGGTATCTAAGAAAGTGAACTGTCGGAAAGTGATCCTCAGGAAACTACTATAGTGATCTGTAGGAAACTAAGAATACAGCAGCCTTTATGGCGAATGTAGAGAATTAAGGTTGGTAAGCCAGTGCATGATTACGAAATCATCCTTCGACAAGTTCTAGAATAGGGGAGCCTTGAATGTAAACCTAGATCATCATTGCTATACATGTGGATGAAATGAGCATTGCGTAACATTACTATAATTACCATTTTAAAAGCGAGGTATTCTAGAAGGTGAGATATCAGCATTTTCGCCGATATATTCATTACACTGACGGTATCCCAACTCCTTAATTACCAGGTGTTGTATGCCTCGATCTATTTCCTTAGCCTATCCTCGATTAACTACTCCCTCTGCATAAAGTTGTCAATTTCATTCTTCTTGCAGGAGATCCCCTCGACAGGCCAAAAGCCTTTGGGAAATCCTTAAATATAATACAATACAAATAATACAATACAATATTATGCAATTCAGCAACATTAGTCATCAGGTATACATGTATGACTGGGAAGGTATAGAACAGCCCAGAATCAACATGAGGGACTAACTTAGTGACTAAAAGGAAGTGGTCGACGTACTAGTTCTAGAACTAGTGTTGTCATCACTTCTACTAAGTTCAGGGCTCACCGTGGTTACTTAGTGGAAGTGATGACAACAAAGTATAAGCATGGGAGATTACACATGTAGCATATGACGAGGCTTACATTTACGTTCATGTACTACTACTAGTAATGCAAGTAATCAAGTCATGTTAGGGGTGTGCGGATAATGCTCGAAAAGGTGGCAGATTCTGCTCGAAAAGCAGTGAAATTGGCAGAACCATACAAACCTTATGGCGGGCAATTCCTCGAATTCTGCTCCATTTCTTTATCCACATACCAAACATGCATGAAACTTACCAGAAAAAGTACCGAATTCTGCCAATTTTTCTGGCGGCATTTAATATCCACATACATGTATGCCTAAGTGGTGGTGGTGGGTCTGATCTACTCACCTCCCACCGCTTAGGAGCTGCATCTGGGCCTTGATCCAAGAGGGTGGTGGCGTTCCTGCGGATGCGGAAAACTGGGCCTTTGGCCGAGTCTCACGCGAACCGTGAATTTTTTTATATTTTTTTATGCCTAAGTTCGTATTAAAGTCATGTACATGTCATAATAATTATAATGATTGTATGCATACAGTCATGTATCCTAACAGGTAGACCTGTGCACTTATAATCACGGAGTTCTCCGGCAGTCTGGTTATGCCGGCTTCGTCAAGGCCATCGACGACGACCAGTAGCTTACCCGAACGGTGGCTCAGATGATCGACGACTGCCTGCTGCTGCACGTCGGTGAACTGCAGCTAGGGCGCGTCCAGCAGGAGGAACTGCTGCCAGTCCGTGCAGCACAGTCGCTTGAGGTCCTGCCGACGCGAGAGGTAGAGAGCGTAGGGACAGCATTGCGTCAGCAAGCTGGGAGCATCCAAGTTGCAGTATGTATGTAAAGAGCGCAGTTTAATTAATGGTGGAGGTGACTCAACATTTCCTGTAATAATATGTATGTATCTGAGTCGGCGGAATAGCGCGAGCTCCGGTGTGGTGAGCAAACCCTTTCTTACAAATTATCGCCGAAGTCGCAACCACTACTACGTTATGTATGTATTCTTTATTTTACTTCGCAAACGGTCAAACGGGAGTACTGGCCGAACAGCATCTGACACAGAGTGGTCTTGCCGCTGCCTTCTGGCGCTATCACCATGCCACGTCTGGCCCACCAGCTCCAGGGTTTCCGGCTCTGCCACATATACATGCGCACCCTTCTGCAGAACCTGGACAGGACGAGAGATCTCAAATCCGCCGCCTGGCTGCGCCCATCCGCCCAGGTTCTGGTACAAATCACCCTCGTCGCGTGCACAGCAGGCCTTCGCCTCTTCCAATTCCCGCTACCACAGCCTCTGGATGTTGGTGAAGAATCGTGAATCTCCACGTCTGCGCGAAACTCGCGCACGCTACTAGTATACTCCGAATCCCGGCCAATGCCGTCTGGCTCTTGACCTCCTTGCACGGACAAGCTTGCCAAATACTCGTTGTGGCGCTGGAGCAGAGGGGCTGGTTAGCTCTACGGAATCCGGCTTGGCTTTCGGTGCTTTCACAGCCTTCCATTCTTCCACGCGAGACTTGGCTTGTTCCTGACCAAGCTCCGACAAGGTTTCGCACGTCAGTCGCGCCTGAGCCAAATCAAGAGCTACATTGTAGCTGCGTGTATTTGCAATCCTGCAGCAGCAGACAAAAACAAGGAAACGCCCGCTCACCCCGTTCGACCGGTAGCGAAATCAAGCAGTACAGAATAGAAGCGCTCGGAAGCGCTCCGCTGCCCCGGAAAATCTGTTTTGGAGTCCCCCCCAGGGCCAAGTGGACCTCAGAATGAATATCTTGGGCCGCTTCGTTTTGGAACACGTATAAACTGCCATGTCGGTATCAACAGAGCAGCAGCAGCAGCAGCAAAAGATCGGTATTTTACGACTCCCTGGCTGGAGCAAGCTCGCCCGACTCATCGCGGCGACCGACACCATTATCATAGCACTGTGTAGGTGATTGCAAGCAGGAAGTACCAGCCGGACCACCGCCGTTGGAGGTGGTCCGGCTGGTCCAGAAGGGGGTTCCGGGAAGTTTTTGAAATTACAGTGAAACTTGTCTAAGACGACCCTCAAGGGAGGCTTCAAACTCTGGTCTCTGTTACCAGGTGGTCTCCTTCTCCAGGGTCATTTGACTGGAAATAGCATCCCTAGCCCTTGGTCCTGGTTCCAGTGGTCTTCCGGGACAGGTGGTCGCCTTGACAGGTTTCACTGTTGGGTGAAAAAATCCTGCATTCTGGGCACTTTTGGCAGCGTGTTAAAAAAAAAGTGATCCGGCCGGACCGGCCGCTATACCCCTGAGTAGTCTACTGGCATACAGCATTGGGTGTTACCATGGTTAAAAAGTAAATTATCGTGTCCGTTCCCGAAGGGAACTCACGACCACAAGTTCCCAGTTGACTGTGGGTAGCAGCACGGCTGGAAAAACCGCTCCCAGGCAGGACTTGAACCAGGTACCTCTCGTGTCTCAATCATGGTCTTTGACCAACCCACTGTGCCTGCCATGGTTACACGGTAGACTAGTCTAGCGTAGTACCGTAAAGTACCGCCAGAGCGCCCCACCTTGATTTTACAGCCAGGGAAAGGAAAATCGTATGGCAGAATGCAACGAAGTTTGTACGATGTGAGAACCTTGGTTTGTAAGGGCACGCTTGGCAGGTTTTTGTGTGGGACTTGTGTCCGCTCGAAGGTACGGATTGACTGCAAGAATAATAATGCGTACAAGGTTCATGGCGTATGACCTACAGACAGCAGACCCCTCCACAATACGACCACGAAGGGACGAGATGGTGGGGCGCTCTGGCGGTACTTTACGGTATAATACTCCCCCCGATTGGAAGTGTGACTGCAAAGCCAAAAAAACAAGAGAGCAAGCAGGGGCAGAGTTCTAGAAGAGCACAAAGCAAGATCTACTGAGTATGCGAAATAATGAAGGTCAGCGCTGACGTGCGGACACCGCAACTTTCGGTGGGGGGGGGGGGGGGGAGGGGAGAAATCAAAAAATTGATACCACATGGGTACCGGTACCGACAGTTTTCAAACAGCCAAGAAGGTCGTCAAGCTGTCGAGCTACTTGTTATACAGTAGAAAAAATAACACTATGACCGTAGTCCTGGAGAGTGAGTGGCCAGAGACGTAGGAACAGAATCCAACGGCCGGCGCACAGCGCATCGGCATAATTATGCAAGATAGTTCAGCACGGACATCAGCATTATGCAAGATAGTTCAGCACGGACATCAGCATTATGCAAGATAGTTCAGCATCGGCAGCAAGCTCAAAGCATGCACAACAACAACAACACACCGTAATAATTATGTCATAGTCATTGAATGTCGTCGGTCAAAATGATTATAGGCCTGGTATGTGCACCTCTACCAACAGAAGAAACAAAGGTGTGCCCTTACAGTCACTGGGTTGTGAACATTACTACATTAGTACAGAGAGTCTGTTACGTAATCACAGATTCGATTGATAAGAAACCTGCCGAGACACACTGGACTCAAACAGCTAAGAACCATGCACACATGAGCATGGCACACATGCACACACACACACACGAGCGCTGCACCGCAACTCAGCGGAGACTCGGCCGCAGTGCATGCAGCTGTGGGCAGCAGCAAGCAGTTCGAGAGCAACGCACACAAGTCTAGCATGGACACAGTGTCCGTTGTGCACGCAGATAAATTCGAAAGAATGGCCTGGCGCCGTTCTAGCGAGTCAATTGAACCGTGAATAAAAATTGCTTCCTCCAAGAGCAGCCCAAGAACTTGCTAAGTTCAGGATGAAGCACACGGTGAAAACGTCCCATCGTCACCCATCAAGTAGATGTTGCGACGCCAGCACGCACACTGCACATAAATACTGGCGGCGTCTCACCGCATTGGGATTCCAGCGGAGGACATGGCCCGTGGGACGAGCGGCTTAGAACTGACATTCAGCACGGGACTAGAGAGACGGGTGGCTGGAAACGTGCGAACGTGTTCTGCCAGCAACCATGGATGGCATGTTGAGGAGCAGCACGGAAAGTGTACCTCCTGCATCGCAGCCAGTCACGTGCAAGCTTACACCGACGTGCTCTGTCTCTTGTTCTATTCCTGACTGGCATTCGGCAATACCAGCAGCTGCTGACCCGACGGAGAAGAGCAGCGTTCAACTCAGGCTAGTACAGAACATCCCAGCATGCTGATCACATGGAACGGTGTTTCTAGTCCACAGGAACAGGAGAAAGTCGAGAAACACATGGCGAGCTATGCAGGGTCACACATCAGCCAGTAGCCAATTCGAGAGCTACTTCCAGTGCCAACATAACTATGCCAAGACAACACCAGCGGTTAACGGCACCTCTTCTCTCTCTCTCCCATTCCCTCACCGAATGCGAATTTTCTGCTTGGACAGGGACAGGACTGCTTTGAGTTGGGGTCGCTTCTTCGCCGGCACCAGGTACGGATTGTGCTCCTCCGGCGGTTCGACGACGCTCGACTCTGAACTGTCCTCGCCCTGCGCTGCCTCAGCGTCATCTCTGCTCAAGTCAGCTGTTGGCGGTGGCGGTGGCGGGGGCACTTCGACGTTATCCTCGTCACACGGCATGATGGCTTTCAAGTAGGGTGCCTCGGTGGGCATGTCGGGCTGGAGCACTGCGCACCAAGCACACACCGCAACAATACGGAAGTCAAGACTGAGAAAAACAACACAGCCATGCCCACATACTCATGTGCTGCACATTACAATAACGGCGTCAGGGAACACCAACCTACAACAAAGACCGTTTGTGTGTGTGTACTAAGGACCCTTGGCGTCGCAAAGATTAGAATGGCTCGTTACGCATGTACATGTACAGAAGTACACTATACAGCAAACCCTGTCAAGGTAACCACTCTGATAAGGTGACCACCTGTCTTGGAGGGCCACTACAACTAGGACCAAGGCCAAGGGGTGTTATTTCCAATCAAGTGACCCTGGATACGGAGACCACCTGTGCATGGAGACCGCATTTTTAACGTCCCTTGAGCGATCGGCTTAGACAGGTTTCACTGTACGACCAACAGTACATACGAGAGAGTGAAACTCCGCTTGGTTTGGCCGCCGCGGCGCGGGGGATGACGTCACCTTTTCTGGAGACCATAAGTACACTGCATGCACTACGCGTCTGTGGCTGTGTGAACTCGGGCGGATTTCAGTGAAATTGGCCGGGTTTCAGTGAAACTGCACTGTGAGCACAAGTACAATAGAGTGATTTTACAACCGTCACATGACCATGCGGGACAGCCCATGTTGGTTGCCAACGTCAGTCAATCCGTGTATCAATGGGTGAACAAAACAATTCCGCTGTGGACCCGAACGGCTGCGGAGTTGCACAGCCACTTAGCTGGATTTCAAAATGTCCTCGAGTGCGGCAACTTGCCACTAAGGGGCCTTCCGGCATTATCAATAATTTTCACGGAACGAAAAAGTTTACAAGTAGTTGCAACCCCCCCCCCCCCCTTTAAAGGGGAAGTTAAGGCAAAAATTAAAATTTCACCAGTTCTAGTCTTCGGGGTGCTGAGTCGAATGGTCTTGGTCCGAGAAAGCTGAGACGCTCCCTTCCTACTTGAATCCCAATCGAACTCGCGCACTTCCACCGAAACTGGGTGACTGCGCCCTACTAGATGGGGATTTGTATGGAAAATGTCACTAAAAGCGCCATTTCGTTCTTATAGAAGCACGGATGACCGCGATTGGCCCATATGTTGTACTCTTTTGGACGCTGAGTCGACTGGTTTTGGTCCGAAAAGGCTGCGATGCAGCGTTCCTTCTTTATTCCCAATCGAACATGGTTGAACAAGCGGTCACGTGCTCCTGGGTGCACAAATCACCTGGTCACCACGCCAGCAGGCGACAACTTTCACACCAAGGTTCAACTCGAGTGACAGGACTGCACCCAAAAAAGGTCAAACAGGCTAGTAAGTTGTACCCTGCAGGCACGGTGACCAGGTGACTGGCGTACGCAGGAGCACGTGACCGCTTGTTCAACCATGTTCGATTGGGAATAAAGGAGGAATGCTGCAGCGCAGCCTTTTCGGACCAAAACCAATCGACTCAGCGTCCAAAAGACTACAACATATGGGCCAATCGCGGTCATCCATGCTTCTATAAGAACGACATGGCGCTTTTAGTGACATTTTCCATACAAATCCCCATCTAGTAGGGCGCAGTCACCCAGTTTCGGTGGAAGTGCGCGAGTTCGATTGGGATTCAAGTAGGAAGGGAGCGTCTCAGCTTTCTCGGACCACGACCATTCGACTCAGCACCCCGAAGACTACAACTGGTGAAATTTTATTTTTTGCCTTAACTTCCCCTTTAAACGTAAGATATATTGACTTGACAGCGAGAATGGATCGATGTTTATGCCATCAATATTTTCAAAACAAAACTCTCCTTGACCCATCCACCCATGAACAAAACTTTTTCGTTTCGTGTAAAAGATCGATTATTAGTACGGACGCCCCTAAAACTAACCCGAGGCAAGCGGCGTTGTGGATCCGGGTACGGAGAACGGATCCGCCGGCCGTGTCTTCACCATGAACTTAGTAAGTGCCTGGCGCGTCTGCTGCTGTTGTGAAGCGATCTTTTCACGGATGGACGCGTGGTCCACCACCGGCTTGCGGTAGGCCTGAGCAGCAAGCGGAGAAGATGACAAAGAAACACACAAGGGACAGAGCAGAAAGGAGGGACAAACTATCAGCCAGAAAGTAGTATTGCTACATGTTACAAACCGCCAGAAAATGCAGGTTTGACGCTTCATGGAGAAAAATCAGAAAAAAATGTTTGCACATTTTTAAAGGGGCCTGGGTCATCACTATGACGCAAGCACAAGAGAACAACGGCGGTCTAAAGCCACTCACAGGCGAGCGCACATAGGTGTGCGGGTCGGGGAAAGCGGGCAAGTGGCTGGGAATGTGGGACGGGTGAGGACGCTGGTTGCCGACGCGTAACGTCTTCGGCTGTGTCGACGGTAGCAAACGATTTTCTATGCAGCAGAGAATACCAGTTACAAGAAAGCCGTAAACACGTTTTAGAAGAAATGAGCCCATTGTACATTGCCCAATGTGGAATGTGTGAGTACGCTGGGATCAGCAGTGCATTGTTCAACACCCTACGCGACCATGGCCATGTGCCTGTGTGGGGTGGTTATGGTACAAATGTCGTCATTGCGAAATGGCCTTATTCTAGTCCCAGTTCTTTAAAAAAAGAGTTTATTTATTACTGTAAAAGCCATTATTCTAACGAGGCGCATATACAGTCAACTTCGCTTATAACGACACTCGGTGGGGTGTCAAAAAGGTGCCCTTATTCGCGAAGTGTCGTTATACCCGAAGTCTCATTATATGTAATACAGTGGGATGGGACTTTGCTCTGGGCATGGAAATCCTGTCGTTATTCGCGAATTGTCGTTATATCCGCAGTCGTTATTGGCGAAGTTGACTGTATAACGATTTCCCAAAATTGACTAGTTTACGTGTACCAAAGGTAACGATTCTCACTCATTCTCAACGCTCATCATCATCATCATCATCATCATCTGCGTTGCCGAAAAAAATAATAATAGTAAAATAAAAGTCGGATGTTGAGCCATAAATAAATGTAGAAGAGAAAAGGACATATGGATACGAGACTGTAACATCAGTACTCTGTCAGTTTTGTGCCTAGTTATTGCACTTTCTGACTGTATATAGTATCATGTTACAGTGATGGAGAGTTACTCTTAACTCGTATCCATATGTCCTTTTCTCTTCTACAAGTAAAAAATAAAAAATAAAAAACGGCATTTTGCGGCTGTGTAAGCAGGAGATGCACAGTGTGACTGCCAGGCATCTCTGTCAGATGCCAACTGGCAATTCTCATGCAGAGACATACCAGTTCACGAAACGATATTGTCAGCAAAGGAAATTTTCGCAACGCTCAATAGGACAGTATATGTATCGATTTCTGAATAACGATTTCTATTTTAACGACAGATTTCTCCTTGTTAAAGGGGAAGTTAAGGCAAAAATTAAAATTTCACCAGTTGTAGTCTTCGGGGTACTGGGTCGAATGGTCTTGGTCCGAGAAAGCTGAGACGCTCCCTTCCTACTTGAATCCCAATCGAACTCGCGCACTTCCACCGAAACTGGGTGACTGCGCCCTACTAGATGAGGATTTGTATGCAAAATGTCACTAAAATCGCCATTTCGTTCTTATAAAAGCACGGATGACCGCGATTGGCCCATATGTTGTAGTCTTTTGGACGCTGAGTCGACTGGTTTTGGTCCGAAAAGGCTGCGATGCAGCGTTCCTCCTTTATTCCCAATCGAACATGGTTGAACAAGCGGTCACGTGCTCCTGGGTGCCCAAATCACCTGGTCACCACGCCAGCAGGCGACAACTTTCACACCAAGGTTCAACTCGAGTGACAGGACCACCCAAAAAAGGTCAAACAGGCTAGTAAGTTGTACCCTGCAGGCTCGGTGACCAGGTGACTGGCGTACGCAGGAGCACGTGACCGCTTGTTCAACCATGTTCGATTGGGAATAAAGGAGGAACGCTGCATCGCAGCCTTTTCGGACCAAAACCAGTCGACTCAGCGTCCAAAAGACTACAACATATGGGCCAATCGCGGTCATCCGTGCTTTTATAAGAACGAAATGGCGCTTTTAGTGACATTTTGCATACAAATCCCCATCTAGTAGGGCGCAGTCATCCAGTTTCGGTGGAAGTGCGCGAGTTCGATTGGGATTCAAGTAGGAAGGGAGCGTCTCAGCTTCCTCGGACCACGACCATTCGACTCAGCACCCCGAAGACTACAACTGGTGAAATTTTAATTTTTGCCTTAACTTCCCCTTTAACTCGTTAGAGTTAGCACTTCGTTATATATATGGCTTTTACAGTAGCACGGGCACACGACTAGCTTACAACGGGAACTTACGTTTGTTTACGGCCAGCCGCTTGGGTCTGAAGGCATACTTGCGCAGACCACCAATGTCGGCTCCTGAAACACACACACACACACACACACACACACACACACACACACACACACACACACACACGAGCGCACGCACACACAAACACATGACGAGAGAAAGAGTTTCACGCCGAGCGGTCATCGGGCAACAAAAAAGGAATCCATGGAGGGATTACGCGATTACATATGCATCATCGTCTGACATGCTTTGTATGACAAAGCACATGTCAAAACACAGCGGACTGGAAGCACTGGCTTACCACTCAAAAACTCGTGGTCTGTGTGAGAGTACGGAGTTTTTTTTCTTCTTCTGCAAAATCCACATATCTCCAGACACTGGGGTGAATAATGGAGTGTGGTGGTGGGGCCCATTAAGCTCAGCCGACCAGGGGTCTCGGCTTCATAGCTCCACGGACGGGCGAAAGGGGGATCGGGTAGGGAGGATTAAGGACGTCAGTATGTAGAGTCATGTGGGACATATTTAGACTACACTTGCAGCCTTCACACGACGGAGGCAGGAAGAGTGTCTGCCCACCTAACTGTGGACACCACGCACCTCCGCCTAGTGACTACTGAGAACCTCTGACCAAGGCCCTCGTATGCCAGGCCACGACAATTCAAGGAACGCACTGCACTGAAGCAGCAGCAAGGACAGATCTGAGTCAACCATCCCGCTCCCTCATTTCGAACATTTGTCATCCCGAAAGTGGTCAATTGACCGGGGCAGCTGCGTCATGGGGCGCGAAGCAAGAAGCTACTGCCCGTGCTCAGCACATCGAGCAATCTCGTAGCAAGCACAAGGCATGCCAAGTTACAGAGAGAGAGAGAGAGAGAGAGAGAGAGAGAGAGAGAGAGAGAGAGAGAGAGAGAGAGAGAGAGAGAGAGAGAGAGAGAGAGAGAGAGAGAGAGACTCGCCATGATGCTCCTCTCAGTCACAACCCCTGTGATTCTACATAGTATCATAGCTTCTAACGCACACTCGCTGGTGTTAACCCGTGCTTTCTTTTCAGTTTGCTGAACCGTACGCTTCTATCCTTTGTTTCTGGTGCGTGTTTTGGCCGTGGTGCCGAGACCTCAGGTCGGCAGAACCATCAATGCCCCACCAACAGCTGCGTCTCGGTGCAGCCCCTGCTCAGCAGTTGTCTCGTTTGTCCTAGTCCCAGTACCATTGTCTTTCATTATCATTTTCGAGTAGGGTATGCCTGTGGGACCATAGTTTAAAAATAATAATTAAATTTAAAAAAAAGGCAGATTGGTGATCCATCTGGAGTTCCCGTATAGTACTGTAAACTACCTAATATTCGCGACGGATTAATGTTCGCTATTTTCGCGAGAAGAGCGTAACGCGAATATTCACCAGCGTAAAATCAAGCTTCAACAGTGGGTGTATGTGGGGTGGCCCTGGTGCTTCGCGAAATTTTGCCAGCGCAAACTTGCTGGTTCTAAGAAATCGCGAAAATTTAGTGACGCGAATGTTGGGCGGTTTACAGAATTATAATTATCATGTTGTTTGCAGCTCAGTGCCACTAGTGATTACTCTCCTCGCCAAGAGCATGCATGTTACTATCAGGTGCAGTCACAGATGTTCCTCTGTGAGATGGCATACTGTGATTTCGTTGTGCGGAGAGTCCATTCGAATTCGTCTCCACCCGCCGCATGCAGCCAGATAAGCAACTCTTCACTACCGTTGTGGATGATAAGAAGACCTTCTTTAACTTCAAGACCACCGGCGTGCCAGAGCTCGTCGCGAAATTCTACAGCAGGCCTTTCACGTGTCCTGTAAGTTCTGTTTCAGGTTCTGGTCGTACTGACGGTGCCACTGAAACTGGTGCTTGGTACGCATGTCAACAGTAAAAGGCTGATGGGTGCGTCGCTGGCAGCTGTGTCCTGCTTGCCGTGGCCGTGTAATGACGTGCGACGGCGCTTGCAGCGTTCAAAAAGACACCGGGTCCACCTCAAGCTTTCTCTTCACAGGACTAACAACAAAAACGAAACAGTGACGGAACATACGCTGGGGACCGTGGGTCTTCGCTCTTGCTGCCCCGGACACCGTCCTTTGTTGTCGTTTTTGGGGACAGTGGGTCTTCGCTCTTGCTGCCCCAGACACCGTCCTTTGTTGTCGTTTTTGAACAAAATACATGTGCAGAGAAACCAATCTACTAGAGTCGAAAAGACCTACACATCAGAAAAGGCCATGAGAATGTCCCCGTTTCTTTGAAAATTCGAAAACCCCATGGCAACTGGTGCGCGAGTCATTCAAAAAATGCAAACATGCCTGTCGTCGAGTGCAGCCTTGTGAGTCCACACGGTCACTTTTCTCGTGAATCACTCGCTATGAAACGTGCACGTGCCTGTCGTGTGTGTGAATCGCCTAAAAACTACACGAAAGAAACTACAAGGCGCTCGACCAGAACAGCCAAGAATAAACACGAACTCAATGCACACACACACGCAAAGAGAACTCAGAACAGGCTTCTCTTTCAACGTCTTGCCACTAAAGTCTTTCTAGACTAGGTGTTTGACTCACCCATGTCGGCCAGGGCAAGCTCCACATCGAAGACGTTTGGCCGGGTGCGGCAAGACAGCTCCGAGCCGTAGTGTGCCGACCGCCCAAGCTCCATGATGTCTATACACGGGCACACATGAGAAGCGCATACGCAGACACATACACAGACACACGCGCGCACACACACACACACGCGCACGAAATTCTCACGTTCGCAAATTTTGGACTGCAACATGCATAGGGACTATCCCAGACTTTCGGGGCACTTGGCATGATCCAAGGAGTAGTAAAATACCGCATTTTTACTACTCCCTGGGCTGATCTAATTCCACTAAATGGGATCACTGCAAGATACTAGTAGTACATGGGTGAGGACACAATGCAGACAAGGATTGACAGCATTAGGATACGCATCCTGGGATCCAATAGCATTGATCCCCACATACACATTCAGTCTCACTCACACACATCCCTCTTTTCTTGCACATGTGTATGCATGTGTACATGTGTGTGTGTGTGTGTGTGTGTGTGTGTGTGTGTGTGTGTGTGTGTGCGTGTGTGTGTGTATGCATGTGTGTGTGTGTTTGTGTGTGTATGCATGTGTACATGTGTGTGTGTGTGTGTGTGTGTGTGTGTGTGTGTGTGTGTGTGTGTGTGTGTGTGTGTGTGTGTGTGTGTGTGTGTGTGTGTGTGTGTGTGTGTGTGTGTGTGTGTGTGTGTGTGTGTGTGTGTGTGTGTGTGTGTGTGTGTGTGTGTACATGGTATAATCCCAGCACAAGTTGCTATGTCTAACATAGCTGTTCGCTATCATCGCTTCCGCGATGGGCAGGTCTGCGGTCTGCGGTGTGTGTACATGTGTGTGTCCATGTGTGTGTGTGTGTGTGTGTGTGTGTGTGTGTGTGTGTGTGTGTGTGTGTGTGTGTGTGTGTGTGTGTGGTTGCGTCCCTGGGTTGTTTCCGCTCAACCCAGGGACGCAACCGCCATCGCTGTTCAACGCACTGCCACCGACCAACGGCCAGAGAACGGGACAAGTTCCCGCATATGTGTATCTGCTTTCGCCGGTTCCGACTAGTCTCGCATCTGGAGCGCCATCGGGTGGCGTGCTCTTTCTCTCTCTCTGCTGCCCCTCCGGGGCCCAAGTGACCCTAGTGGTAGTGGCTCTACAGGACAGGACAGGTGTGTGTGTGTGTGTACATGTGTGTGTGCACGTGTGTGTGCACGTGTGTGTGTGTGTGTGTGTGTGTGTGCACGTGTGCATGTGTGTGTCAGTGAATAAAGGACAGGCTGGACCGAGTGTCGCGGCGACCTTGTCGCGCGATTTGTATCATGTTTGTGCCTGTTCTTGTTTCAGTACAAAACGCTAGTTCCATGCCCACGTTCCCGTGCTTTGTATGACTTGTTCTGGCCCACGTATGCATGACTGTATATGTACTTGTCAAGGCACGTGCATGCAGCACAGTTTGGCGCGCTTTTGCGAATGTGTTTTCTTCTCCCACGGTGGTGGGTTATGCGGCTCTTCTTGGACACGAGTGGTTTTTCAATTTTGTTGTTCTCTAGTATTATTCTGGAAAGAGCGATTACTACGGACTCCTTTGTCCTATGATGTGTGCCACCTGTAGAGGTGAGATCGGACTTGTGACCTGTGTTGATAAATCGAGAGATTGGGAATCCTAATCTTTCGACATGGTGCTTTAGTGACCAGAGATTTTCCTCAGTTTATTTAGTAAATTCCGACCAGAGTGATGGAGACTATCGCCCAGCTTGTAAAGTGTAGGGCAAACACGAAGCGACGACTCACACGCCTTCGCCACAATTTAACCCGGGAGCTTGCCAAAGACGCTCCATCACCACACTACCTGCTACGAGATTGGCAGCAGGCTGAACGCCTTGCAGCTGAAATCAATGCCACACAGGCTAGAATCCGCGATCTGACCGAACAGGCGACTTCCTCGGATGTTGAGGCCCGCCTGGAGCAACTCGACAAGTGGGAGTTCGAGTTCGATGATGACCTGGAAGTCCTGAGGGACGCACGTACCGTTCTACAGAGGGAGAACCCGTCCGGACTCGCCACAGCAGATGCGGAACTGGAGGCAATCGCCAACTCGAGTCGATCCAGTGCCCACAGCCCTCCCCCACGACGTCCCCAGCCGCTGTCTTGACCAGCGTATCCTTCAGCCCATCAGCAGTGGTGGTCCACTCCAAGAGTCCACCTTCCGCTCCTGCGAGCCCTCCTGTGACTGCTGTTAGTCCTGTCCCTGCTACTGGCTCTCCAGCCACTCCAGTCGTCCCGTCTCCGAATGAATCTTGACCAGCGTATCCTTCAGCCCATCAGCAGTGGTGGTCCACTCCAAGGGTCCACCTTCCGCTCCTGCGAGCCCTCCTGTGACTGCTGTTAGTCCTGTCCCTGCTACTGGCTCTCCAGCCACTCCAGTCGTCCCGTCTCCGAATGTCTCCGAAACCCCCAGCGACCAACTCGTGCGGCAGCTGACAAGGCCCGGCAGAATATTGCAAAGTGGACAGCTGTATCGTTGCTGCACGTACACATCCCACACGCCTGATAAGTTTGACCGTGTCAGAGTGTGAGGATTAGGTGGTGCTTGGTCCAATTGGCAGTGACCTCACAAGCACATAAAACTCTCTGTATGCCTGTTTAACTGCTTGCTGTGTGTGTGTGTGTGCGTGTGCGTGTGTATATGCATAGCTTATGCTCTATAAGTTACCTCCCGGTGTACATTCCCGGTCGGCTGGAGTGTCGCGGCGACCTTGTCGCGCGATTTGTATCATGTTTGTGCCTGTTCTTGTTTCAGTACAAAACGCTAGTTCCATGCCCACGTTCCCGTGCTTTGTATGACTTGTTCTGGCCCACGTATGCATGGCTGTACATGTACTTGTCAAGGCACGTGCATGCAGCACAGTTTGGCGCGCTTTTGCGAATGTGTTTTTCTTCTCCCACGGTGGTGGGTGATGCTGCGTTTCTTGGACACGAGTGGTTTTCAGTTTTGTTGTTCTCTAGTATTTTTCTGGAAAGAGCGATTACTACAGACTCCTTTGTCCTATGATGTGTGCCACCTGTAGAGGTGAGATCGGACTTGTGACCTGTGTTGATAAATCGAGAGATTGGGAATCCTAATCTTTCGACACCGAGCTCTACTTGAACACTGCTTACAGCGATGCCGCTGCCATGAGCTTGGATTGTCTCCACATGCAAACTATATCCAGGTCAACTTCGCTAATAACGACTGCGGATATAAAGACAATTCGCGAATAACGACAGAATTTCCATGCCCAGAGCTAGAGCAAAGTCCCATCCAACTGAAATACATAATACTAGTAATGGGACTTCGGGTATAACGACACTTCGCGAATAAGGACACTTTTCTGATGCCCCGCCAAGTGCCATTCAGGCACGTGATCTGATTTGAAGCTAGGAAGTACAGTGTAACTCGAAAAGAATTTCTACTTCCTGTATGTACTGCAGATACGGGTAGCGTAAAAATCAGCTAACAAAGACACCACCCGGGGAAATCCATCTCCACAATGACAACCAGCTATGGAGAGCAACATCTACGTGCATACTAGGCTGCTAATTTCGAGGCCAATGCCAAGTTCTGCCACAGAGCACAATACAACTAGCAACAGGTGTGTTCTTACAGCTCTGTAGCATCTCTGTCAGGGTTTCCAGTGCAAGCTTTTCCACTCGCTGAAATCCTGCCTCCGCCGCCAGGGCCGCCACGGCGACGTTTAGCGCTGTGCGACGCCTCGTGGCCTGGGACACGTCCTTCTGGGCGGCCATTGTCGAGACACTGGAGGACACACCAGCCTTTCAATAACTAGAAAACACTCTTGTTCATTTACATGACATGGTACTACAGTTTTGTGAAAATCTGCATGTGGCTTTTTTGAATGCACAACGTCAAAACCGAGGCCAAAATGCCCAAATCTTCAAAAGTGCGCACACAACCTCGGTTCGTACGTCCATCACGACAAAAAAAAGAACTCCAATCATGATCTGAGCTGAGCGCATGAATCGTCAAACGTAAACACCGATCATCCTGCATTCTTTCCTTGAGGCGCAGTTATGACGTCAGAGACTTTACTCCTGTTGCATGAGTGACCACTGCACTGGTGACTCGTTGGGAAAAAAATGTTGGCAAAATCGCCACAGAAAGGCGGCGCACGAAGCTACGAAGAATGTGCGGCTAGAATGTGCGGCTAGGTCAGGCTGTTCGATCTTCTTGGCTTTTTTTGCTGGAAAAGACGGTGCTGCACTTTGAGCTTACGGTGGAGCTAGCTGTGTGTTTGTGCTGGGTGGTGGTGATTTAGCTGTGGAAGACTGAGTTTTGAGAGAAGCACCAGCCAAACGAGTAGCCAGGTGGTGCTCCCCAGGATCGACCACTAGCAAAATCTGCCTGTCTCTACCCCACGCTCACCATGGGTGCTATTCACACGACCGGCCCGAACGAGGCATTGGTACTTTCTGGTGAGTGCGACTACTACTAGCCTCTCTAGCTCTCACTCTTGCAACAGGGGGCGATCTTTTGTTATCCATGGTTTGGGTCTGTTTAGAATACTGTTGGAAGAAGCCTGCATTGCACTGTGCAGCCCATGTTCCATAGCCACAACTCAACGCCATGTGTTTTCAAAACATTCCTGGCGTGAGTGAACGTGTAGAACTAACTTTTGTTTTCCACCCATGAATCACGAATGGTTTTGTTCATGTCGTGTAGCGATTATTACTAATTGGCGTGTGATGTGTCCCATGCGTTTCCCCCCGTCTCTACACCAGGTGGATGCATCGGCTCGCAGGAGAAGCGCATGATCGTCGGAGGCTATGGCTGGTCTTGCCTGTGCTTCACCGACGTACAGCGGTGAGTGTACGACCCCCACCGACTGTCTCGTGTCGGGAAACGGGACTCAACCGGGTGCCACTGATACCTTCAGTTGTTGATGACGAACCAGGAGCGTGGCATCGGTGGTCGCTTCTCGAGGGTGTCACGGCTACGTCCTCAGAGTATTGCATGCTGCTGGTGGTCTAAACCATGACATTAAAGGGGAAGTTAAGGCAAAAATTAAAATTTCACCAGTTGTAGTCTTCGGGGTGCTGAGTCGAATGGTCGTGGTCCGAGGAAGCTGAGACGCTCCCTTCCTACTTGAATCCCAATCGAACTCGCGCACTTCCACCGAAACTGGGTGACTGCGCCCTACTAGATGGGGATTTGTATGCAAAATGTCACTAAAAGCGCCATTTCGTTCTTATAAAAGCACGGATGACCGCGATTGGCCCATATGTTGTAGTCTTTTGGACGCTGAGTCGACTGGTTTTGGTCCGAAAAGGCTGCGATGCGGCGTTCCTCCTTTATTCCCAATCGAACATGGTTGAAGAAGCGGTCACGTGCTCCTGCGTACACCAGTCACCTCGTCACCGTGCCTGCAGGGTACAACTTACTAGCCTGTTTGACCTTTTTTGGGTGCAGTCCTGTCACTCGAGTTGAACTCGAGTTGAACCTTGGTGTGAAAGTTGTCACCTGCTGGCGTGGTGACCAGGTGATTTGGGCACCCAGGACCACGTGACCGCTTCTTCAACCATGTTCGATTGGGAATAAAGGAGGAACGCTGCATCGCAGCCTTTTCGGACCAAAACCAGTCGACTCAGCGTCCAAAAGACTACAGCATATGGGCCAATCGCGGTCATCCGTGCTTTTATAAGAACGAAATGGCGCTTTTAGTGAGATTTTGCATACAAATCCCCATCTAGTAGGGCGCAGTCACCCAGTTTCGGTGGAAGTGCGCGAGTTCGATTGGGATTCAAGTAGGAAGGGAGCGTCTCAGCTTCCTCGGACCAAGACCATTCGACTCAGCACCCCGAAGACTACAACTGGTGAAATTTTAATTTTTGCCTTAACTTCCCCTTTAATAATATTTTGGTGATGGTCTAAAACCATGCATGCTGCTGATGGTCTAACCCATGACATGGAGTGATGGTGTTACTGACCATGGCATGGCGTTTGTTTTTGCACCACTGTCCAACAGGTGCCAGAGTCATTGCCACATTGGAGGGGGTCTTATAAAGGACAAAAAATTGACTGGCGCGGTATGCTTTCTAGCTGAGGCCGCCCGTTGCCAATGGCAATAAGCACCCAGTGCAGCTGCTCGTGTCATGATTAGAGACTCGGGCAAATAATGCTGAGTGGGAAAATCGCACCTGTGATACGGTGGCTGCTACATGACCGACTGTAGGACCGACTGGTCACTGGGATTCGCTCAGTCGCTTGGGCCAGGACGGCATTGGGCATGGACGTCACCCACCCTGTTTAGGGGCCATCACTTTTTTGTCTTTAATTATAAGTTATAATAAGTACCGTTTACTATCCGAACTTGCATGTTTATGTATATGTACAACTATTATACGCGTGACGTCAGAGGATTCTGGATTGTTGTCTACTATATAAATGAGGTTTGTTTTGTAATCGTTGTCGTACTACCGAGGGTGAACCTGAACCATGATACGCTCTTCCGTGCACACAGGCTGTCCCTGGAGGTGATGACGCTAAATCCGAAATGCGAGCAGGTGGAGACGGCGAAGGGCGTGGCGCTGACGGTAACGGGAGTAGCACAGGTGAGTGCGGCCGTGACCAAGAGTGTGCTCCCCTTTCTATGGGCCAGCCGCGGCCTGTTACCTTCGCTACCACATGTGGCCATGTAAGGGTCAGTGATCTGGTCATGTGACATCAATATTTCCACAAATTTGGCAAAAGAGCAGTAGCACCGTAAAGTGGTGTATAAAAGCCGCAGCTTTTATGACTTTTCGGGGGAATTTTGCAGGCTTCTATACGAGACAGGTATTTCTATGTATGTCAACACTAAAACCAGGCTTATGTGCGACAGTGTATGTTGAAAATCAGGCTTCTATTCAAGACAGGGTTCTATTATGTTACCGTATTTCCCCGTAAGTAAGTTCTCCCCAATGACTAAGTACCCCTCTATAAAAAATTCACTTTCCGCTGCCGAGGTTATCACCCCGAAAGACAGTTCCCCCCGAAAGATAGTAAGTTCGTACCCGTCCTACATGTACAGACACCGTACAGTACATACATCATTATGCACGGACACTAGAGTTGCGCAGGCTTCCCACTGCGTGTCATTTACCCCCGATAAAAAAGTACTCCCCGAAAGATAGCACCACCCCCGAAAGTTAGTACTCATGTGGCTGCTAAGTTCGAAAGTTAGTACGTACTAACTTAAGGGGAAGTACTATAATACAAGCCACCAAAGCATGCCCAGTAAACCTCGTGTACAGGGTACCCGGTGGACCGAGGCGCCCGTAACTTTGAGGTCTAGGAACGACCACTGCACTGCGCTTGCATTATTGCTAGAGCTCACAGTGAGCCTTCTTGACATCAATTGCTGGAATCGGCTGGGTGCATGCATGTGTGATATCGGCGATATCAACAGTTCATGCACTCAAAGTCTCTCTCTCTAAACTACGATCACAATCAATGCTACGACACAGTCGCAGACTTTCACAGTTGAACTCGGGGTCGAGAGAGCCTAACTCTCGGGAACGTACTTCTCTTGGTCTGAATCACGGAAAGGCAAAGAATGATTGTGAACACTAGCAATTTATAGAGGAAGTTAGCTATCGGGGAGATCGATAAAACAGCGCAGCGGAGCAGGGAGAAGGATCGCTAGATCGAGATGGACAGCGTAGAGTACGGAATAGCTAGCCGGAGAACAGCGGGCTTTGCGGCAGAAAGATCGAGACTACGGGAAAAGACAGCGAGAACTAGCGGAAAGAATATCGAAGAGAAACAATGGAAACGTTATGTTTAGGTAGCGAATGAAGAAAGAGAAAGAGACGCCAGCGGTGTAACGGAATCCATAACTAATTGCTAAAGCAAGGGAGACAGTGTAGGAAAAGTGATATCTATTATTATGTGTGTGGACCAGACAGAGTGGCGGCAGGAGGAAGAATAAAATCTGTGAAGCATTCAGGCTATTGACTGTGGTGTGCAAAAAGCGTGTCTATCAGGCCGGCGTACAGGTTTCTATAGATGACAGGTCATGCATGCAAAGTGTCACGTGCTCCTACGCTACGGTGCGCCAATACTACACCACACCTTGTTTTCTTGAGAACACGCCCTCGTGTTCAAAGTATACAGGTAGTAAACATGAAAGAAAAATGAAGCAGGGAAAACAATATAGATAAGGGTGTCTTACGATGACGTTTAAAATGGTCTTACAATTTATGGTTGTCTATAGCGGTGAGGTCGCTGGAGTGCATTCCGAGGCCGGAGGTTATAGCGAGGCGGCGGGCCAGCCAGCGGTACGGGTAGGTCGTCATCGCAGGTCGGGTTAATCTGGGCCGTATACTGTGCAGGAGCGACTGGCACTTCAGGCGGCCGAATATACGGCTTGAGGCGGTTTACGTGGACCGTCAGCCGTTGGCCCTTGCTGGCGTCTTCGATGGTGGCAGTGACAGAGTCCAGCACCTTACGGACAACGAACGGGCCGGACCAGTAGCTGTGTAGTTTGGGCGACTTTCCTTTCGGGACGACGGGCGAGAAGACGGACACTTCAGCACCGACCTGGAGACGTGGCTTTGTGTGGACGGTGCCGTCATAACCCTTCTTCTGGCGACGGAGGGCGAGTGCATTCAACTGGCGGGCATTAGCAAAGGCTGTCTTAAGGGACGCTTCGCGCGTTGGATTGCCTGATGTTGCATCGCGGCCCGAAGAGCGTCGTCTAGCGTGGCGGGGTTCAGCTCGCGGACCCGGATCCGCATGGCACGCGAATCCAGGCCCTGGACGAACTGGTCCTTTGCGAGGACATCCAAATCAGCAGGCTGCATGGCCGGGTAGGCAAGGCGTGCAGAGTGTCTTACGTTCTCGCAGAAGGAGCCCAGTGGTTGCTCCTTGGACTGGTGTGAGCCCTTGAAATTGGCGCGGTGTAGGTCCACGCGCTGGGCAGGCACGAAACGGTCCTGGAGCGCCTGAATGAGAGCAGCGACTGGGCCCTGTCGGGTGGCCTGGGGCAGCGACTGGTAATAAAGCTGAGCCTCGTCGTTCAATGATATTGCCATGAACTGACTCTGCTCGGCGGGCGTCCAGGCATTGATGGTAGCCACTTGCTGAAAGTGGTTGAGCCACGTCGGCCAGCTGTCCGACAGCGAACCAGCAAATTTGTTTGGCATAATAGCGTGAGGAGGCACACGCGGGACGGCGGCAGGCGCAGCAGCAGCAGCACCAGCAGGAGCAGGTTGAGCCATGGTGACCGGAGCGCAGGTGGTGAACGAGATTCAGGACAAGAGGAACGAGGACCGCTAAGTGGACAGAGAAGCAAGCAAGTAGCGATCGAGACAGCAAGAGGACTAAAGAAGAAAGCACGTAGAGGACGAACCACCGCTGCCACCAGTGTGATATCGGCGATATCAACAGTTCATGCACTCAAAGTCTCTCTCTCTAAACTACGATCACAATCAATGCTACGACACAGTCGCAGACTTTCACAGTTGAACTCGGGGTCGAGAGAGCCTAACTCTCGGGAACGTACTTCTCTTGGTCTGAATCACGGAAAGGCAAAGAATGATTGTGAACACTAGCAATTTATAGAGGAAGTTAGCTATCGGGGAGATCGATAAAACAGCGCAGCGGAGCAGGGAGAAGGATCGCTAGATCGAGATGGACAGCGTAGAGTACGGAATAGCTAGCCGGAGAACAGCGGGCTTTGCGGCAGAAAGATCGAGACTACGGGAAAAGACAGCGAGAACTAGCGGAAAGAATATCGAAGAGAAACAATGGAAACGTTATGTTTAGGTAGCGAATGAAGAAAGAGAAAGAGACGCCAGCGGTGTAACGGAATCCATAACTAATTGCTAAAGCAAGGGAGACAGTGTAGGAAAAGTGATATCTATTATTATGTGTGTGGACCAGACAGAGTGGCGGCAGGAGGAAGAATAAAATCTGTGAAGCATTCAGGCTATTGACTGTGGTGTGCAAAAAGCGTGTCTATCAGGCCGGCGTACAGGTTTCTATAGATGACAGGTCATGCATGCAAAGTGTCACGTGCTCCTACGCTACGGTGCGCCAATACTACACATGTGTGTGTGCGTGCATGTATGTGTGTGCGTGCATGTGCGCGCGCGCGCGCGTGTGTGTACGTGTTTGTATGCTTGCATACCCGTATGGATGCACGTGTGCGCTGTGTCATGACTGCTGCTGCTGCAGGTAAAAGTCATAACAGAACGTGAGCTGCTCTCCACGGCCTGCGAGCAGTTTCTCGGCAAGACGGTCAAGCAGATTGAGAACATCATCCTGCAAACGCTGGAAGGTCACTTGCGTGCCATCCTCGGTACACTGACTGTCGAGGAGATCTATCAGGTACAGTGGACGCTTGGAAGCAGGGCATGATGTGCTTGCTTTTCTCAGAGTCACTGGGCTTTGTGCAATGTCATGTGCCGTGGTATTTGCTGGTTTTGGATGAGCAAACCACTCGAGAGATCCCTACATTGCGGTGTTCGTGGACTGTTAGTTTCCCTGTCCAGGGTGATCGAGAAGTGGTGGAGACACGCTTTGGCCGCGGTTGTTGTAGTGGTGACCTGGAACAGTTGGTTGCTTGCCTTATCAGAGTGTTCACCTTGACAAGTTGCACTCTGCCCCTCCCACCCCCCCTCTCTCTCTCTCTCTCTCTCTCTCTCTCTCTCTCTCTCTCTCTCTCTCTCTCTCTCTCTCTCTCTCTCTCTCTCTCTCTCTCTCTCTCTCTCTCTCTCTCTCTCTCTCTCTCTCTCTCTCTCTCTCTCTCTCTCTCTCTCTCTCTCTCTCTCTCTTTCTCTCTCTCTCTCTCTCTCTCTCTCTCTCTTTCTCTCTCTCTCTCTCTCTCGTCTAGAGAACTAGGCATACCATGGCCTTGTGTACTGTTGTTCCGGAGTATACGCTGTACCGACTTTTGAAAATACGGTACATGTATCTACTTTGTACTTTTTTGAAGTATCTCTGACTTCATCAACCATTCAATGTTTTACTGTGTCTTCCCCTTTCTATTTCTTTCCCTTGCTCTGGCAGGACCGAGAGGTATTTGCCAACAACGTACGTGATGTAGCCTCACCCGATGTCGGACGTATGGGTATTGAAATTCTTAGCTTCACTATCAAGGTATGGCGTGTAGCAACCGGCATCTCTCTCTCTCTCTCTCTCTCTCTCTCTCTCTCTTTTCTGTTCAATATCTCTCTCTCTCTCTCTCTCTCTCTCTCTCTCTCTCTCTCTCTCTCTCTCTCTCTCTCTCTCTCTCTCTCTCTCTCTCTCTCTCTCTCTCTCTCTCTCTCTTCCTCTCCTTCCTTGCCTTTGTCTTCTTCTTTTTTTGGTCAGAATGCCCAGGCTAAATCCTGTGTGATACACCCTGTTCTTGTTGACGTTGTTTCCCTAAAATCGAACAAGTTTTCTCCGCTTGCAGTCGGTTGGGGTGATGCGTAGTCACTCCCATGTGCAAGTTGAACATACATGCTGCAACTTTCGTGGGAGCAAGGCCGACTCAGGATAAAACAAATTCTGCCATCGGCCCATCGAGAGTGCTAGAACGTCGGCTGCTTCTAACTTTGGAGCTCGTGCTTTCCTTCCGATTGACTTGACTCTTGACAAACTGTTCTTCTTTGTTTCATGCGTGTACTTGTTTGTGTATGCGTGCATGCATGCATGTGCGAGTTCATGAATGTTTGGGTGTGTGTGTGCGTGTGTGTGTGTGCGTGCGTGTCTGTGTGTGCACGCACGTACACGCGTGTGTCCATGTGCTCGCATGGCTGTGTCAATGATACAGGATATTACTGACAACGTAGATTACCTCGACTCGCTGGGAAAAGCCCAGACTGCCGCAATCAAGAGAGACGCGGCCATCGGTGTTGCGGAGGCAGAGAGAGACGCCGGAATCAAGGTGAGATACTGGTTAGCATCGTGCAGTTGTAAACTTCAGTATAACATCCTGTATCTCCGGAGTACAAGCCGTACTTTCAACACTCAAAATCCCCCCCCCCCCCCAAAAAAAAGGGGTACTGACGTTCTACAAGTAACAGTACCGCGTGTCGTGCAATGTTATCGCATGAGCGAAAAAAAGCGGGTGCGGCTTATACTCCGATGATCAAATTAGCGGTGATACATAGGGTGGATGTCTGTATTTCGTGGCAAAAAAATGGGGTGCGACTTATACTCCTGTGCGGCTTATGCTGCGGACAATACGGTAACTCTGTTGTGGGCCATGTTGTGGGCCATGAAAACCTGCACTCTATCGAGAGATACTGGACACCCGAGGCAAAGTGCATGGTCCTCCGAATGTGTGCTTTTTATCCTATAGTACGCTGGACCCAGTGTGGTTCATATTGAACTGTTTTAGGGGTCGTCGCAAAAGTTTTTTTGTCGTCTCATTTCGTTTCGTACTCGGACCCTCCCCCTCCTCTGAAACGAATACAATTAGCTATGCTGGACGACGAACATCGCATGCAATTATATGTACAGTGTCAGTCGCCTTGTGATTTTGGCTCGCACACCCCCCCCCCCCCCCTCTCCCCAACGAATAATGTTCGTTTCAGGGACGACAAAAAACTTTTGCGACGACCCCTTAGTGTATTGTGTTGAGGTGCCAGATTTTGACTGTTATTGTACTCTCTCTCTCTCTGTCTATCTGTCTGTGTGTCTCTCTTTTCTGCATTACAGAAAGCTGAAGCGGAGCGTGAACGCCTGGACGTCAAGTACTCTGCAGACACTGCCATCGCCGACTCTCGCCGTGCCTTTGAACTCGCCAAGGCCAGCTATGACCAGGAAGTCAACACAAAGGTCAGTTGTGCCCGCAGTTGCTTTTGTCAAGTTGTCATGTTCATCCATGCAGTCATTTACACTTTGCAAGTTTGTGGGTATATAAACCAGTACTGATCCAGATTTACTCATTACTGGTGTCTGATGATCGCTTAGTGCGTGAAACTCGGAGTATAAACACTTTTTTCATCCTCTTATTGTTTGTTCATCCATACAATCATATGGGTATACTGTAAAGCGATAGACTTTCGCGGCGTTCGAATTCTGCGTTTTAAC